TCAACAGTACTCAGAAATCAAATGGACATGCATAGTCTAAAAACCGAGACAAGAGAGAGACATCAACAAGTCAAAAACCGTCCATGGTACATACATACGACCAAACCTTGTACGGACATCCATGATCACCCGCAGACGGTCTCACTACTGCCACGCATTCCCCCCGTCCAGCCATCACACTAGCTCGAAATCNAGTCTAAAAACCGAGACAAGAGAGAGACATCAACAATAGTCAAAAACCATCCATGGTACATACATACGACCAAACCTTGTACGGACATCCATGATCACCCGCAGACGGTCTCACTAATGCCACGCATCCCCCCCGTCCAGCCATCACACTAGCTCGAAATCCCTCCCCCCTAGGCTATCTAGTTCANAACAATAGTCAAAAACCATCCATGGTACATACATACGACCAAACCTTGTACGGACATCCATGATCACCCGCAGACGGTCTCACTACTGCCACGCATTCCCCCCGTCCAGCCATCACACTAGCTCGAAATCCCTCCCCCCTAGGCTATCTAGTTCACGTCTGGACAGCTCCTCCCAGTTCCCGTCAGTGTAGCGCACGCGCCAGTAGGGGGATAGGTAATCATACTCCTGACCCTGAAGTAGGATACCTCCGGCTAACTCCTTCTGGAAGGTAAAACCTATCGGGAAAACGTGCAAGGCTTGAGCGCGGGACAACAGGGTACGGGGCTTGACTGAGTCGGGTGCAGAAGCGTTTGCTAGCTGGGGAAAATACAAATGCCAGAGCGCAACGAAGCAATCAAACTGAAGGGGCGTGAAACTGCGTAGCATGGTCTCTTCCTGCAGCCAGTCCGACACTACACCATTTCCTGACTTTCCTTTGTACTCCCAAACAGTTCGCATGCCAGAAGCCGATTGAACTCTGCGACAGTCGGCGATAGTGACTAGACCCAAACTCTCTTTATTTAGCTCATGGAGGCAATTTGAAATCGGGTCCCCACGCATACTGGGCGAACTCTTCGGCTAACGAGTGTCGGAAAGGAAGTTCTCGGAGGTGGAAAGGTTTCACATCGGCCGTAGATACCCTTCGGCTACGCTTCGTTCTACCATGCATCATGACTTCTACACTGAGACCAGGCTGGATTACCTGTTCGTGAGTCTGCGAACACTGCTGTTGGATACATGTGCTGGATGATTTTGTGTCACGCAGACTGGTAAGATAACCGTTTGATAGGGGGCACCGCGATGATTCACGGGGCCCCTCCTTGCTGTGGGAGCCGCGCTTTGAGCACTCCCTCTTT